TATGTACAATTGCTACTTTACTTTGGTACCCCTCAACTCAAGAAAACATTAAGAAACTGGAACAGACACAAAATAGAGCAGTGAGATTCATAACAAACAAATATTCACATTTGACTAGAGTAACACCTTTAGTAAAATCACTAAATTTAGAAAGCCTTCAGGATAGAAGACTTAAAGGCAAAGTAGCAATCTAATTAACAATAAAATATTATGAGCTCTACATCTAGACGTAGTACTAGTAGTAGATTTATAAATGAAAAAAATCTAATAAAAAACAATAGTAATCAAACAGTAACAAGAATTTGGTGTAGTCTAGTAACAGTTTAAGATCTATAGCAGGGGTTCTCAACCTGTGGGTCGCGACCCCTTTGGAGGTCGATTGACAATTTGCCAGGGGTTGCCTAAGACCATCGAAAATATGGATTCTTCTATTGCTGTGTGTGTGGGGGGAGGGGGCGCGGCAAACTAAGGAATTTTAAAAAGGGGTCGCCGAGCTTAAAAGGTTGAGAACCACTGATCTATAGTGACTTAAGAATATGAGTTTGTATTAGTGTAATAACTGTAGTGAAGTCTCAAAGACCTAATTAGTATTTAAAAGAGTAAATGCAGTTAAAGACCACTGTAAAAAAGAATCAAGGGCAGAGGGGTCACTCAGAGTAACCCCAATACCCCATTAGTATAGTTGTAGTACTGTAGTATAATTGCCCTATTAAAGACACTAAACGAAGCTGATGCTATTTTTTTTTTTTTTTTTTTTTTTTTTTTTTTACATAATATGAATTTTTATTTGGGATTTTCACATTAAAATTTAATCATAGTCATCTGTACTTTTTTTTTTACATACACTCTATTTTTAAGATCCTTTTAGCTTTCTAAAGCAATAAAAATTAAAAAAAACGGAAAAAGGGATGTCAAGAAATGTAATGACAATATAATGGAAATTAACAAATTAAAGACTAGAATTGTGATGCTGTTTAATTGTTTAATTTATACCTTTATATTTTACAGGATGAATTTTTGGATGTTATCTATTGGATGCGTCAGATTTTGGGTCTGCTGCTTGGAATTGTTTGGGGAATCATTCCTATGAGAGGTTTCATTGGTTTAGCACTGTAAGTTTCTACTGTCTCTATATCTTAGCCTATATATTTACATATATGTAGAGCAGGGGTTCTAAACCTGTGGGTCATGTCCCCCTTGGGGGTTGAATAACAAATTGCCAGGGGCCGCCTAAGACCCCAGTAAATTTGCATTTTTTTGTATATTCTAATGTGCTGTAACAAGCATATTTTAAGCATACTTGGTATTCAAAATATTTCACATCCCATTCTGTTTGAGATTGTGTTTCGCCTTCTTCCATTACCAAGAATAAATCTTTGCGAAACAAGGTTTCCAGCTTGTTAGTTATTATGTCCAAATTCAGAAGCAGACTTGATGCAGAAGATGACATTCGTTGTGCTACTGAATTTCTGATCTGGAGGAACACTAGCCAGCTCAACTTTCGTACTACCATTGGCTTGCAACGTGTATATTGTGGAAACGCAATAGAAAAGTAAATAAAAATAAATGCAGGTCTGAATAATAACTTTTTAAAAATTTTATTATGAGCAAAAATTTATTTATCTGTAAAAGAAAAAAAAATACAGTTGGGGGTTGCCGCCTAGTGGGAAATTATATTAGGGGATGCAAAGCTAAAAAGATTGAGAACCACTGATGTAGAAAAATGCTTTAGTTATAAAGAAAAAATCTTTGTCATCACACATTTTTCCCTCATACATATTATATGAGCTTCTGCTATCATTTAAATATGATTTCAGTTTAAATCTCATGGAAAAGAGAAATCAGTCACAATTAGATTCAATGAGTTTATTATATGGCTCCTTAATTTTGGATGATTTCATCAAATATTTTGTTGATATTCTCAAGAATTTATTAGGATGAATGAGTCTATAGAAAGTCGTCAAAGTAATAGTTCAAATATGTTTCTATGTGAATCCTTTTAAACCATTAGTAGCCAAATTTCACATTACTTATTTCTCTATTCTCTTTATTTTGCTAGACTAACTCCTGTTTTTAAATCTTATTTTATCTTTTAATGCTATCACCCATTCTTCACCTTCTTACTTCTCCCTTGTATTATTAGGTGTTAACATAACTATCACTTAACCCCCTTACAAATTTAACAATTGAAAAACTTGGGGGGTTAATATTTGATAAAAGTTATTCCCATGTGTCTGCTTCATTAAAACATTATTTTGTTTTTGTTAAAGGTTTCTACTGGTGAATGTTGCTATTGTGTATATTTACTACAACAGTTTCCAAAAAGTTGATGAGGAGGAATATGGTGGAACATCAGAGATTTTAAAGGAAGGGCTCATGACATCATTTTCTTCATTTCTTGTAAGTCAAAAACATTATATGGTATAATTATTTCTTACTTAAAATGAATAATTTTCAGCATAAAATAATTATTTCTAAAAGAAAATTATGTATTCTGTAAAGTAACTCCTCTTAAGTAACTACTTACTGAATCCATAGAATGACCACAATATATCCTCCACCTTTATAAATCCTGTTTATCTTATCCTATAAACTAACAGACATTTATTGTTTCACTGTAATCTTTAAACCAAATTAATTAAATTCCAGATGTACATTTTAACCAGGCATTAAAATGGCTCACTGGTTAAAAACAGATCCTATCAAAGACAGTTATGAATAGTTTGCCAATCTACAAAATTTGGTTAATGTTTATTTAGCTACAATTCAAAGAAACTGAAATAGGTGCAATTTTACAATAGTTACAACTTTTTTACTTATTTATACCGTTATTTTGAACACAAAAAGCTTAATACAATTCTTCAATCTTCATTTTCTTCATGTAAGGGCATAATTCATCCATGATTATATTGACTTAAAGAGGGATAACACATAAAATCACACAAACATTATAGGGGCATAATGTATTATCAACATTTAGGTTTTGTCATGGAGCTATTACAAAATGTATGCAAATCTACACAATAAAAAAATACTATTGGTTATTTCTTTATGGACAGTTTGTGTTATTAAGTTATGACATGTATAATACTTTTGTATCATTATGCACTATATAGCACCCATTAATGTTGGTTTTGGGCACAAAGTAAAAAGCATTTAGTAGTTAAATAACATATAATTTCTAGAAGAAAGAAAAGAAAAATATCCATAACTAATATGAATAAATTTAGCAACAATTTTATCACAATTCAGATTTTGAGTTTACTGTTAGGTCTAAATTTTTAGATCACCATGCTATTTTTAGTCTTACTGTACTCTGGATTTTGAGAAATCGACATTAGATAGGATCAGGGTTTGTGATATGGTCAACTGATATGGTCAACAGGTTCTTAAATAGTGTATCAAAGGTGTGTGGATGATTTTTTATTATAGAGTAAGGGAGAGGTTTTAATTTTCTGAATGTGGTGTGTTACAATTTGTCCCATTCATTGATTTTATCGAACTTTGTATTTAATCAACTGTTTTGTGAAATACAACATATTGACTACAATAAAATTAGCGTGATGTAAGAACAAAATAATCAGCCTATAAGAAATCTGGTCGACAAGTGACTGGACTGGATTTGTAAGTTAAACGGCCAGCTATGAAACCCCTAGATATGCCTTGTGCAATCACCCCAAAGCAGCAGAATGAGAGGGGGTTTGTGAGGCCCATGCTAAGACATGACTATCTCAACACTTCTGGTGACCTTGACATTTCTTTTTAAAAAGTATTTGCTGAACACTAAACCTTCAAAACCTAAATGTTTTTGTGATATTAGACATTTAGTTTGAAATGATAAAATGTTTTTAAAATGATTGATTATAGTTTGGCAACAAGGAGGTTTCATTGTGGCTATGACAACTGAATGCTTTCAATTTTTCCACCCCTCACTCTCTCTACCCCCTCCCTTTCATACTTTCCACCCTCTCTTTCATACTCTCCCCCTATATTGTCAGTACATTTTTCCTAATATTTTTCAATTGCTTTATTTTCCGACGTTTTATTTTTAAAAATATTTCTACAAATTTAAACCAAAACTCTCTGCAATAAATGTAATAAAGACAAGAGCACATTACCATGATAATTTGATTGGAACAATGCCATAGGATGTTGCATAACTTGATTTTTGAATTCTCTAAACATTTTTTTTTTTCCTTTTCAGGTTGCTTGGATCATTTTGTACTCAGCATTACATTCCGAGTAAGCAAGCTCATTACTACAGAATGCTTGAATAAGTTTTTATTCCTGAGAGACCTGGTTTACTTCATTAGCCAGTGCTGTTATAGTGATTGCAGCATTTTAAAACAAAAAAAAACTCTTTCAATTGATTGCTTTAGCAAAAAAAAAATTGTATTTATTTGTTTCACTGAAATGTATAGATTCATCTTTTCTAGTATGTATTTCAGTACAATAATACTATGTATTAATATTGAGTTAGCCATACATACAAGTTATTTGATTTCTGTAAATGATAGTGATTAATATTGTTAATAGTATTTCAGAAATATACTTTTAACCAGACACTTTCTGATTGGAAATGAAGTCAAACGATTTATGAAGTACATTTTTAGTCATCTGTGATAGCATTTTAAGAATAGATCATGTGATGTATTGCTGATAAGTACAATGAAATGTGGGACTCGTCCCAGATACTTTCTCTCATACTTTTCAAGTAGTTAAAAAGAGTTGTTTTTATAAAGACTATTGTGTGTAATGTAAAACAGACAAATCTTTAACATGTTTATGAAGGTATTAGCTATATTGGAATGGTGCTGTATATTGTTCAATACTTGTCTCAAGAAGACTTTTAATTTAATATAAACCTTGTGTTTTTTGTTGTTTTTTTTAATCTATCTTCAAAAAGCTGCTTTGATGAATTCAAGGTATCTTTAAGTTTGATAAACAGTCATAAAGATGAGTGTTTGATTTGAGGGCATGTTTGGTTTAGCAATTGCTTGGTTGTATTTTGTTATGTCTGTTGAAAAGTGTGAGTATTGGTACTTTGAGATTTCCAAGCTAAATAGTATATTGAAGATACAATCCTAACCATGTTTCCAAGATCAATACTACATAGATGAGCATTTTAATTAAGTTAAAGTCATTGTTAAACATACATTTAAGCTGCTAGTTACAAAATTTGTTTTATTTTTAATGTGTGCATATGTCAACAAAATATTATATTTATTGAAAATCTATTTTATTTCTTTTTTATATACATTTTGGCAAGAAAACATCAAATTTTGCATGCTTATCAAAATGACACAATTCAACACACAGTATGTTGATATCATTGTAATCAGAGGAAAAATGTAAATAATTCTCACTCATTTTCATTTTCGGTTACTGTGAATGGTTTATTAATGTTTTAAGGATGTAAGTTGAATAAAAAAAAACAAATTGAAGTCTATACAAATCATTGTAGAGTTCAGAATATATTATTCTACACATAAATTATATCAAACATCACAAGTTATATTTTATTTGAATCTATTGCTTTTAAAATGCAATAAAGTATTTTTAATATACTTTACAGGGGTGTGGAGCAGAAATTTAAAATAATTAATTGATATGTGAGTGGGGGGTATAACAGTTGACAGACAGATTTTTAAAATTGGTGTTAATTACAACCCAAACATTGATGAAAACTTCACTTTATTCAGAAAAGACCAATCAGTTCACAATTACTTTTTTTTTTTATAAAAAAGATAAATATTCAAGGAAAACATACTAAAAAATACCAAATTTATGCTCACATTTTTTAATTATTTACTACCATTTTCCTGTCTTCTCAATAGCATAACAAAGAATTTTATTAATTTGAGACCTGATATGGGTTTCCTGTACATCTTGGTTCTTTGCAGTGTTAGCAGGCATTGTTTTTCTTTTTTTTACCTTTATTTGGCATGTACCTTAAATCTTGACTGCTTAGCAGTGGATCATTCTCAAAGAATAAGCATGGAGTGTACCATAGAAGATAATTCACTTTTATTAAACAAACACATCCATTCCGTTGACTTTCTAGAAAATTTAGAAATTCATTTATTCATAACCAAAATAGTAGCCAGTCTTGAAATAATAGGCCTTAAATAATTTTCCTAAATTGGAAGCCAGTCTCGAGTTGGTATGTCAAAGGTCAATTCCATCTCAGGAGTACACCTGAAGAAATAAAAATTAATAAATTGTACTGGTGGCTGTTCACATAATCAAAACTTCAAGTATTCTAAATTCAGAAATAAATTAAAAATTACTGACTTTTCTCTTTTTGGAAAAAACTCTGGAAACAATTGTAGCCTTAAATTGCTTTTAGGACTTTTTAACAAATACTCTATTTCCCTTTCTAGCTGTTTGTTAACTTGAGTTATTTCCTCATGATGTTTCTGGTGGAATTCTATCTCCTAGAAAATAGAAACATGACAGACACACTGTTCATCAAGCAATTTTGTTTATAAATACATTTTAAAAAAGCTGTTAAAATCATAGGATACCATTTGGGAAGTTTCAATGTTCAGTGTAGAACTTGTGCTCTTAAAAGTTAAAAATCTTTTCTGAATATTCAAAATACCTGATACAAACAAGTAAGATCTTTTCAAAGTAGACGTAAAAATATTTTTAAAAGACGCCCTGCAGATGTTCTGAGAGTGACAAATTAAATTTGATTTTACTCAGCATCAATTAGGTCAAACAAGATAGATGCTAATAAGGTCTTGTGGCAAGATCCAATGGCCAATATTAAAGTCATATGAAAAGAATGATGAAAAAAGATAAGTGGATGTCAAGCTAGACGTAGGGCTTATTCTATTATAGGCTGTTCTGCAACAAAATAAAAAAAGAAAAGTACAAAAACCATATCCTGCCACAGGGCTAACCTAGAATAATTGGAAGCTCTAGGCAAAGTGAATTTGGTTGCCCCAAAATGAAATAAGACAAACAGAAACAGCATAAAATAAAAACAGGATATAATTGGAGGCTCTATGCTAAGTGAATTGGGTGGCCCCCGAATGAAATAAAACAAAAAGAAACAGTGTAAAAATAAAAATATGCAATTTATTAAAATACCTGCCCATATATATCTAAATCTACAAATAAGTGAAATTCATGTATCTGTATTTCCATGGTAGAGACAGAGTTAGACTAAAACAAAGTCCTTAGGCGCTACTATGTTTGAGATCTGATCCAAGTTTCGCAATTTTTCTCTAAATTTTTTTTAGTCCTGTGTGGAGGCCTTAGTTGGCAGCCTAGTTTGCCTACGCTTAAGACTGCCACATAGATTTAGGGATAACTAAGGTATAGCAATAATAAGCATTTCAAAAATTAACTTTTTATTTCAAAAAACAACAACTCCACTGCTAATAGTCATAGACATAATAATGAAGTACAATTAAAATAAAATAATGATTTTAAAAATGTAAATTATTACCTTTTTCATGACCACATTTTGCAGAGCTGTGTCTTTAATACTTGGATGCATCAAAGCAACAGATTCCTGAAAATAAAATAAGCATAAGCCATTTCTTTTACATATATATATATACATTTCTTATACATATATATATATATACATAAAAAAAGCTTAATGTTATAAAGTGAATGTGTTAAGTTTTTAGATGTTCCTTAAGAAATGAAGATTATTGTGCTCTAGTCCCAATGTCATGGAGGAAATCAGATAACGTAGGCAGGGTTTAAACCCAGGACCATCATGATGACATTCTGGATCAGAGAAATAATGTTATATCCAAATTTGAAAATTTAAATTTACCCACTATTTATCACAAAAACTTCCTCATGAAAAGATTGAATATATATTATTCTTACTTTTTGTTAATGACTATGCATAGCTTTTTGAAAGCAATGAAAACATTAGATCCACCTTAATTTTCATCAAATATTGTGGAGCTTTATATTTGAAAATAAATCTGTGTACTTAACTTAGTAATCAGTTGCAGGTAATTTTGCATCACCAGCATCTAATACAAACAACACAATTCCACACGGGCACGACATAGCCTAAATTGTGCCGATGTGCCTAAACTAAAAAAACACAATTCCACAACTTCATATACATTAGTTTACATAGAAATTCCTTCAATATACCTACCACAATAACTTTATAAATAATGTTATTAGAAACTTTAATTCTCTCTCTTTCATATTTCCCCAACTCTGTTTTGATAATGTGCTCCAGTTCTTCTTGGTCAGCCTGGAAATAAGACCTTACATAGCATGACAAGAGCTAAGCTTCATGTTTCTTAAAATCATAATATAAATTTTAAACATTAGAAAGTTCCGTTTTACATTTAACACATTGTTCAGTCAAAATTACCAGCTTCTTTTGCTATATTTATATAAGTATAAATCTTAAACTTAACAAGCTGAATATAAAAAAATACTTTTTTTTTAAACCTCGCTTATTTTGAGTGAAATTGCTACAATTATTTTGAATTAATCATAAATGTCCACAATTGTATAAGTTATTCTCCTGGTCCTGCAACTTTTACACGTCTTCTATTTAGTGTAGGCTGGGTGTTTCCTCACCCTCAGGCTTTTTGTTTATATGTTTATATGCATTTTAAGGAAGTTTTCGGTCTTGGCAATTTGCAGCAATACTGACGTAAAAGAACATCTGGGTCTAAAAGCTGGAACCGGAAGTATCCATGGGACAAGGTGGGGTTGGCCAATGGTCCATTCTCCACCATCCACAGAGCTCTCCAAATGAAACTATTTTGCAGTAGAAAGCTTAAGGTGGACTGTGCCCTGGGTATGCCCTGTGGAATCGTCACATCCTGGATTCAGGCCCCTTCACGCTATCATATTCACCAGTTCCAGAAAAAAACTTCATGATGGGTTTATATCCAGTAGTAGAGCATAGTAAGACATAGACCTCCGACTTGAGTAGTGCAGTCCAGACCTCCATCAAAAAGCACCTAGAGGGGGGGAAGGTCCACCATTATTCGCTTAGTGAAATGCAAGTGGAAAGGCAGTGGGGTTATTTTATTACTCTTGGTCATTTCCAAGCTCCGATACCCACACAGGGGAGTATCGCCACAAAGTGGAGCTTTGGAGTCAGAGTTTTCCTTCTCCTAGATGGGTTGCATATTCAGGCTGACATGCCCCAACAAAACGAAGCTAAACTGGTTTTGAGGTGCCACCTTAGGAAGACCCTACTTCCACAACAGCCCAACATAACCAACATCCTGTAAGGCAGTGCTGAACAACTGAAGAGAACAGCATACTATTTTTCCTTGGCACAGTCTGCAAAAGAGCTTACAGCTCAGCAGCAAAAAGCTGGCTAGAAGAAGAACATGTCTGCTATCTTGCATGTTGAAAATGACAAGTCATGCTTTAATTGGTGGTAGAGAACCATTCATTCACTGCTATATCTCTGATTATTGCAAGGCTTATCTCCCATTAGCTTAGTACATTTTCCGTAAAAAAACAAATTTAATCAATTGGAATAAAATGTTTCATTAATTGATTTTTTTTCAAATTTATTTATGTGTTGTCATTTACAATGAATAATTGTGCTAAGTTTCAACTTGATCTGAGAATGGGAAGTGGGAGAAATAATATGTAAATGATTTTGATCAGGGTGACAGAGTGAGTTGATAAAAGCTCAGTAAAAAGCCTCAGAGTAGCAATGGCTGACTGGTTAAGCAATTAGCTTCCAAATCAGGGGTTCCAATTACAAATACTAATGAGGACTGGGATTTTTAATTTATAGATCTTTAGTCATTGTGATGGCCACATGATATCCTCATTAACCATTGGCCACAAAATATGAGCTTCCGAATCAGGGGTTCCAATTACAAATACTAATGAGGACTGGGATTTTTAATTTATAGATCTTTAGTCATTGTGATGGCCACATGATATCCTCATTAACCATTGGCCACAAAATATGAGCTTCTGAATCAGGGGTTCCAATTACAAATACTAATGAGGACTGGGATTTTTAATTTATAGATCTTTAGTCATTGAGATGGCCCCATGATATCCTCATTAACCATTGGCCACAAAATATGACTTTTACATAATCTGCCCCATATACCATAGATCATGAAACTTACTTTTACTAAAAAGCCTCAACATCATTATCAGGATCTGATTTAGTAGCTCTGAGCTAGAAACATATTTTCATGACTTATCTGTGAAGGTGTTGATGCCAACTGTGAAGTTATATTCGGTCCCCTTAAATTAGTTATTCCCTTTACTATGTTCAAATTAGAATCTGCAATTCCAATGTGCATATGAGCAAAGCTTCCATATAGTCATCTTAACAATAGAAGTGTCAGAATGAAGTGCTCAATTAAATTGCCAACTTTCCTTATCAGTGCTCAACAACCCTATCAAAATTGTATTCAATTGCTCAAACAAGTTGTTATAATAAAAGCTTATTCTTAGGTCTTATAATCAAGTAGAGCTACATCACATCACATTCCATCATTTCAAAAAGACAGAGTATTATTCTACTACACTAATATATTGCTTATCTTCTTATCTTATATAATACAGACGTTACTTCAAAAAAAGAAGATGATTACATCCTACTCGTAATGCATTTAGTCATGCATATTGCTTACTTGATTTGAACTTTTAAAGTTATCTAATTCTGCCTGGAAGTTTGAAATCATCATTGCCTTGACTGGATATTCTTTATCCTTTAAGAGAAGTAAATTCAAATGTATACAGATTTTGTAAATAAAAAATAATAACAAAATATATTAATGTTAGTAAATGTTA